GCCGCATAGACAAGTTTCATACAGTATTGATGCCGACATTCTTGTTAAGTTTTGAGAAAAATTCGAGCGTCGAATGTAAATCATCCATAACTTCTGGCTCTAATATCAAATTGTTATGGTGCTTATTTGGAATCTAGTTATGGGATTTTGTTAATAGTATGAGCTCGTTAAAAGAGAAACCAACGATCTTCTAGGGTTTAAAGTACTCAAGAAAATATAATTTTTGTGAATAATAATTTCCCTTGTTGGAAGTAACTATCCTTCGCATTCTTTAACTACCTACGTACTATATTCAGATTCTAGTTCTTATCCCACAAATCGTAGGAACTAACTTCACGCTTATCTCAATAACTACTTATATCAGCAAATAAGACTAGAAAGCTAAATAAATAAAATAAAAATAATTTTGTTTTAGCAAACCATTGTCACCCACTCTAGCATTATTGATTTGACTGTATTTTATATGATCTCTAAACCTTTACAAGCCCTAAGGGACCTGGTTATCAAGTTCTATACTTTTTGGTGGTTTATAATCTTAGAAAGATCTTTCAACTTGATTTTATGTTAATTTTGCAACTTTCAATATTTGATGTCTACTTTTGATGTATAGCTGAAAAATAGAGATGCTTGAATTCTATAGAAAAAAATCTTCTTTTTGCGTGTCCCATGCATAAATTGGTTTATATAACGTATTGGGTGAGATTTCTTTTTGTGTCATTTAAGGTTGTATGCTATGACTTTGGGTTGCTTCTGCTTTTATGAGGTGGGAAAAATTTGAGAGCTGCCACCCCATAAAATTTATTCTTTTGGCTCTTTCTTTCCTTGATTTATTGGCATTAGTGAATGAGGGATAAGAGTGATATCTTTTATAGAATTGTGTGGAATATATCATAAGTGGCAGCTTGCATAACTTAATTTGCCAAAATCACTTTATGTAATTTTCTGAAACTTAGTGAGAGCACCGGGCTGTATCATTGTTTATTGGACTCTCTACAGCTGTAATGATGTGATTGTGGCTTCATTTTATTTGTCACTTATATGTTGTTTCCAATTGTAGTGTGCTGTTCATTCACAAGATGACATTCGAGCAAAATCAATTCGGCTGGTAAGAACTCAGTGCTTATTAACAGTTATATGGTACCTTGTGAGAGCCCTTTTTTTTTAGTTGACACAAAGAAAACCGGTAGCCATTGCAGATACTATCTTTCTGTCTTTAATGTGCTAATTTTGTGTGCACAGGTTGCAAACAAACTCTATCAGCTAAGCTACATAGCAGAGGATATTGAACAATTTGCAACAAATATGTTACTGTCTGCTGTAAATCAGGAAGCTTCAGCCACTGAGCAAAGAGCCGAACAGGAGGTATGATGTAGCTTGCTTTCCAATTATCCAATATTTCTGATAATTTATCTCCCTTTATCCCTCTGCTCGTCAACTTGACAGCTTCTGGTTTTCTTATGTGCAAAATGCTTCACATCTAATCTCACATATCAATAGTTTAAATAGATGGTTGGACTAGGAAAATGAATAAATTACCTCTCAGATTGGCAGCAGATCCAAGTGTCTTCCCTGCCTGCTTTTGGTGCATTTAACTTCTTATCCAGCTCAGTGATTTGATCCTGCTAATGAAGATTATAACTAAATGCACAGAAGCATATAACATTTTTAGAATGTTACTCGTCTTGTATCTTTTATTTCCGCTAGTCACAGCTTTTAAGGTTTCAAAGTCTTTTTGGCTAAGAAAAATGAGAAAATTTAAGTATCATTCAATATTGTCATATTTCTGAGATTAAAAGAGATATTTAATATGGTACACCTTGTTTCTTCAATTCCTTAATGAATGCACCTCCATGTACATGTTTTTTTTGGAGAAATTTACTGTCATTTTATTTATTTATGATTCTTTCAAAAAAAAAATTATTTATTTATGATGGCTTCTAATAGAGCATGGAAAGAACCTCTATTAATGTTGCTTTCACGTTAAGTAATGTGACTAGATCTTGCATAGGAGTGTAACAATGGAAGACCCTTGTTTTTAGCCAACGTCATAGTCTTGATTGTTATGGTAGATCTGAGCCCTGTAATGTGATGGAGACTTTTAGAGCCATGGGATTTATTGAAAGCCCTAGTGGAGTTATTTGTATATACT